CCCCCAGACATGGGAGCAGAGAGCACAGGCGAGGCCTGGAGACAGCCTTCAGACATGGGAGCAGAGTGCACAGGCGAGGCCTGGAGACAGACCCCAGGCCAGACCAGTTTGGGGGAAGTGAGTCCAGGCAAGTCCCAACGACTTGTTGTATACACTAAACATTGAGGTCTTTTGAAAAAGAAAACTTCTCTATTTTTTGTTCGAACGCTGAACTTTTATTTATGATTCTCTGTACAAGTCTGTAACAAACACTTATGTATTCTGTACCTAGGTACCCTGTACTTAAGATGGTGCCAAAGTGGTGACATTACAAACTTTTTACTGCATTCATTTGAGTGCACATGACAATAAAGGCTATTCTAGTCTACTAAGCCATGACATTTGAGTGGCAAACATTACATTTACACAAACCCAATAGTATGGACTTTTACTTGGTGGCGCATTCCTTGAAGGGAAGTGGGAAAGCTATTCTGAGGTTGGGGAAAACCAGGAGGAGGTTGTTCATGAATATTGTTTAAAAGACTCCTTTATAGATTTTACTGTCCCTGTCTGTTTTCTGTCCCGGGCGGATTGATTAACGGTCTGGAGCTTTTTCGGGGAAGGAGCTTGCAGCAAAGCTTAGCTGCTGCTATAGAGAAGTTAAAATGTAGTGGACTGGTTCTAGTGAAGGATGGGGGCTGATCTAAATTGCTGGAGTCAGACTGGGTTCTGAATGTAGTTCCTGCTTGCGGGGACAATGATTAGTTGGTGTTGGGAAATCCAATGATGGTCAGGGAAGGTGTTGCAGGTTAAGGGTAAGCAAACAGATATTGCTGTTTCTTGGACAGTCTGTTGTTACCAGGAGGAAATGTTCCTTCCCCCTCCCTGACCATAAACACTGCTGGAAAAGGCACTAACAATACACTTGATATGTTTTAGCTCCTTCCAGCTGCCAGGTTTAACAAGGTCTTTGAAAACCAACTGACCAGAAAATAAATAGAATGGACTTGTAAAGTGGTATCCACATTGTAATAATTAAATGGTCAAACAATGTCATGTGAACAGATTGATCATCAATCCCCAGCTTTCCTCAGCTCAAACAGCAGATCAAAGACAGGCTGGCTTTCCATTAACCTGTGACCTCATATCTCTTAACCTCATTCCACCCATTTGTAAGAGTAACAATTCAGTCCAGTTTATCTCCCTTGGTATATGATGGTGTTTCAATTCAATCACAAATGGTACAAAGGAATTAAAGTGAAACATACATTTGAGTAAATGATAGAATGCAAACGGTAAACCTTTTCATTTAATTTAAAACCTGCTCTTCAGACCACAGGAATACATCAACAGGCAAACATTTGGTTGTTTGTTTCATTTGCATCTTTGAGTAATTTGAAGTATGTGAGTATAGTAAGTCATCCTGTGATATCTAGCAGTAAAAACAAGCCTGCCCTGTGGCACATAAAACAATCACTCGATACAATAGATTGATGACTTTGACTGAGGGCTTCATTTTCAACTGACAGCACTTCAACCAATTTTTTTCATAAAAATTACAGAATCCCTACAGTGTGGAAGCAGGCCATTTCGCCTATCAAATCCACACTGACCCTGGATTTCTTTAAAAGTCCAGGCAATGATTTTCATTCAGCAGCTATTGTGTGTTTTTTGTTATTGTCTCAATGTGTGACATTTTATTTTCTGTTTATCCCTCTTTACAATATTCTCCACTTCTTCCTAGAAGGCTGGCACTTGTGTTTAGGAATAACAGGGCCCAGCTCCCATTCCATACCTCACCCAAACAGTCTCTGTGTGTCTAGATCTAGACAGCAAGTGTCAGTAATGGGGAAGGATCTTCACCTACCTCAATGTTTCCACAGATGATCAAAATAGGAATCAGAAGAGGGAATCTTGACTGATCTTTGTTTCTGCTTCTAGCACCAATCAGGACAGTTAACACAGGCTGACTATAGTTCAGGCTGAAGACTCTGACTGTGTCTAGGCCAGGAATGGGAGCCAGAGGCTTCTTGGTATGAGTCATTACCATACCAGTGGTGTATTTCCTCGGTGCAGAATGCACTCCTTTGATTTTTTTTTTATGCAGATAAAGTATTTTGAACAACTCAAAACAGGTTACCCAGTGCACTTTGGCCTTAATAAGGTTTTAAGAGTATTGCCCCCAGCTACTTACTCTGTTAAACAATGAACACTGCAAAGCTGATTTTTAAACTCTCACCATTAAGCACTAACATGTATCTTAATAACCTCTTGTACTTCCAATTAAATTTATTGCTGTACTCAACTCTAATCTCCAACCCTGTCTCTAATCGTAGGCCTGTTTTAGGAGTAAAACATGAGGTCCTCAGTCACCGAAATCTGATTAGTTGAAACAAACCAGATATAAATCGATAATTCTGTTTAGAAACTTGTGACAACATATAATAAATAACATACAATTCAATATTTGCTTGAAATGGTCTGATGCAAATGTGTGCACCAACAGTCAATTTTATGCTCCATTCAAACGCTGCTTTTTTGGATTGTTCCCAGCTGGTAAAGCAGTTCATGTCTTGCCAGATGCTATCATATCTATATCCTCATTTAGCTTTAATGTTTTTGATCAGTCTTCTCATCAGAACTTCAAAGACATGCCTTTTATTAACTATAAGAAAATAGTTTTGGAACAAGTCTGATATGTCAAGACGAATGAGATGAGGATCCATATTGAGGTCTCCTCTATACTGTGGTTTTGTTATTCTTTGATCATTGATAAAATTGTCAGTACTTTGCTAACTATTTTGTCACAACATCAATGGGAAAAGCTGCCAAAAGCAAAACAAATAATCCAAAGCCGAAATAACATTGAGCTACAGTAAACCCATGAGCTTAGCCGCTAAGATTACTATTAATTAATTATCATCAATATTGATTATTGTGGATTTTTCTAACCAGAGTTGTATATTAATTGAATCTTGCATGTAAATGCTACTTAAACAGGATTTGCAGCCAATGGATTGTTTTGGAGCATATCTAATTACTATGAATCAATAAATAGGAAAGTACGATGGTTGAAGTTGCTCCAAGGAAATAATGCTAAAATATTATTAGGTCACATTGTATTTGAATTATGTTAAAGGTTTTATGGTTTATTTAACTGCTTTCAATAAGAGCCAAGTAATAACTTTGAAGGACCATATGTGCATTTATATTGTAAAATGGATTAGATCAAGGTAATTCAGAAATGTGCTGATGTTTACCATAATTCAGAATCTATTCTAAACGTGTTGAACAGCATCAGAAAAAGGCTGTGGTGCAATAAATGTATTTCTGGGAGAACAGTGTTCTGATCCCAGCTGATGTTCTTACCGAAAAGTCCAATCCCAGACAAGAACCTGTCTTAATACATCATATTTTGGCTTTAATGAAGTGATCTCTCACTGAAACATAAGCAAGGTTAAGCAAGGGTATAGTGCTGGAAGATTGGAAAGAGGCAAACGTCATTCCCTTGTTCAGAAAAGGGAATAGGGATAACCCCGGAAATTACAGACCAGCTAGTCTTGCGTCAGCGGTGGGCAAATTATTGGAAAGGGCTCTGAGAGATAGATTTATTATCACTTGGAAAGGCACAGTTTGATTCACGATAGTCAGCATGGATTTGTGAGGGGTAGATCATGCCTCACAAACCTTATTGAATTCTTTGAAGAGGTGACCAAACACATGGATGAAGGTAGAGCAGTGGATGTGGTATTAAAAGTAAATTTAGTAAAGCGTTTGATAAGGTTCCCCATGGTAGGCTCATGCAGAAAGCAAGGAGGCATGAGATAGGGGGAAATGTGGCAGATTGGATTCAGAATTGGCTGACCCTTAGAAGACAAAGGGTGGTAGTGGACGGAAAATATTCAACATGGTGCTCAGTTACGAGTGGTGTACCACGAGGATCTGTTCTGGGTCCTCTTCTATTAGTGATTTTTGTAAATGATTTGGATGTAGGAGTGGAAGGGTGGATTAGCAAGTTCATGGACGATACGAAGGTGGGTCATGTTGTGGACAGTGCGGAGGGCTGTTCTAGGTTACAATGGGACATTGATAGAATGCAGAGCTGGGCTGAGAAGTGGCAGATGGAGTTTAACCCTGAAAAGTGTGAGGTGAGTCATTTTGGAAGGACAAACTTGAAAGCAGAATACAAGGTTAACAGAAAGATTCTTGGCAGTGTGGAGGAGCAGAGGGATCTTGGGGTTCATGTCCACAGTTCCCTGAAAGCTGCCACCCAGGTGGATAGAGTTGTTAAGAAGTCGTATGGTGTGTTAGCTTTCATTAATAGAGGGATTGAGTTCAAGAGCCGTGAAGTTATGCTCCAGCTGTACAAAAGCCTGGTTTGGCCACATCTGGAATATTGTGTCCAGTTCTGGTCACCTCATTACAGGAAAGATGTGGAAACATTGAAAAAAGTGCAGAGGAGATTTACCAGGATGTTGCCTGGAATGGAGGGAAGGTCTTACGAGGAAAGGTTGAGAGAGCTAGGGCTTTTCTCTTTAGAACAATGAAGGATGAGAGGTGACTTGATAGAGGTGTACAAAATGATCAGAGGTATAGATAGAGTAGACAGCCAGAGACTTTTTCCTACGGTGGAGGTAGCTTTTACGAGGGGACACAGTTTTAAAGTGAAAGGAGGTAGATATCGGGAAGACGTCAGAGGTAGGTTCTTTACTCAGAGAGTGGTAGGGGCGTGAAATGCATTGCCGGAGAGGGTAGTGGAGTCGGCCTCATTAGGGACATTTAAGCGGCTATTAGATAGGCATATGGATGATAGTATAAGGTAGCGGTGGAGGTTAGATAGACCTTAGGTTTCGGGCAAAAGGTCGGCACAACATCGTGGGCCGAAGGGCCTGTACTGTGCTGTACTGTTCTATGTTCTATGTTCGATGTTACTGACTTTGTTTTAACAATAGTTTACCAACAAAAGAAAAACAAAAGTAGAATGAACAAAATATTTACTTACAACATCAATTCAAAGATGTTTAAAAACACAGTACCATCCCATTAATCCTAAAGCATTCTTTTTATAAAATTAAAAAGAAACAACTTTTGTACAGTATCTGAAACAGAGTTCTGGTACAGTACTCAAAACACCACTCTCCCTGTGTCTAATACCTCAGTAGGTTTGTGACTTGTGACTTCAATTATCAGACTAGAATACAGATAGCTTCTTCCCAAAACTATCACACACAGGCTTAAATGTATTCAGCTACATGTGACCTCTTGGGGTTTTCTCGAACACTTCTGGTCTGGGACTAAAACTAACTCCTCAACCTAAAGTACCTTAGTTCACTATATATCCTTCCCTGGGTCTATAAAGCCATTCTATTACAAGGACTTCACAGGATTGCACAGCTTTAATTAAAAACTGAAACCCAAACTCTCTTTCTCAGCTGTAAACTCTTTTTTTAAGTGCAAGGAAAACAAGATTTGGAAGTGACTAACAGATCATGAGGCCTGATTAATTACGTTGTTTGATCAAAAAAAATTTAAATAAACAGGAGTCCATTCGTGTCAGACAAACCTATAAATGAGTTTACAGATAAATTATATAAATTCCATGGGGAGCAGGTTGGGTGCATTGGCCATGCTATATTTCCCCCAGTGTCCAGGGATGTGCAGGCCACAGGAAATGAAGGGTTACGTGGACAGGGTAGGGGGGGTGGATCTGGGTGGGATGCTCTCCGGAGGGTCGGTGTGGACTCAATGGATCAACTGGCCTGCTTCCACACTGTAGGGATTCTACGATACAAATGTACATTGGCAAAAGAAGGACTTTCTGCCAAATACCCAGAAGTTCGAGTGAGCTTGTAGACCTGATGAAGAGAAAGAGGGTCTAGGCCCGAAACGTCAGCTTTCCTGCTCCTCTGATGCTGCTTGGCCTGCTGTGTTCATCCAGCTCTACACTTTGTTATCTCTGAAGAGAAAGAGGACCCCTGTTTGCTGCATTCAAGGCAAGGTTGACAGGAGGGAATGCCATAGATCTAGGAGCTGGTTAGAACATCTTCTACAGCAGCAATGTACAGAGATGGTGCAGCCTCCACTTCTATGCCCCCAAGTCAGCTGCCTGCAGGAGGAGATGGAGAGCTTCTGGAGGACCATAGAAGAACTCCTCTGCAAAAAAAAAAGACCAACAGGAGACAATTATTGTAACGGAAGATCTCAATGGCCACCTTGGAGGGGCCAGATCAGGCTACAAAAGAAAGTACACAGCAAAGTTCTGGATGTTGCTGTTGCATTTGACCCTGCAGTCATGAACACCGTCCTTCAGCAATAAAACCTCATCACCTCATCAACTACCAAAATGAAGGTAGAGAGAGTCCTGAATGGCAGACAAGTGATTGGAATTCTGTAATCACCAAGGTTATTCGCAGTCAAGAATTTACAGGCCACCATTATTCAGTGGGTCATGGACTTGCTGCTCCTAGTCCTAGTAGAGGCTAGACTTAAGGGAACAATGGAGATTAAGCGGTGGAGATTGTCCAAAACATTGGAAAAGGTGGAAGACAAACAAAGAGTAGATAAAGCACTGGGAGCGATATACAATCATATGTCCCCACTCCCAGACCGAAAACATCAGGTAGAAGCATGCGGCCATGGCAGTTAGGAAAACAGAAAAGGAGTACTTCCCAAAGACAAGATGCCTCTTCGGAGAAGCAAAAGAGGTTGATTGCAGAAAATTCCAAAGTAGCTATTTGAAATTTCTAGGTATAGTTTGCACATAAAGTGATGTCTACAGACATATCTCCCTTTATTGGGATCTGATCGAGCAGGACACAGTCTCACTACATTACATAATATATTTCTGTGTCTCAATAAACATTTCTTCAACTTCAACACTCTTTCGTGATCATGTCAAAAAGAGAAAGTGGATAAAGGAGCACTTTATATTTAAGCACAGTAAATAGTGAGTGTCCTCAAGGTTAAAAATCAGTGATAAGTGCCTGGTTTGTAGCAATAATTGTAATATATGACAGGTGTAAACGAATTTTCACTGGAATAAAGGAACATGAATATTTGTGCGGCAAAAAAAATCTGGTTAAAGTCAGAGTCGTAGAGACACAGCGCAGGAAAAAAGGCCCTCTGGCCCAAAACATCCATTCCAGTCAAAAACAACCACTTAACTATTTAAACCATTTTCCAGCACTTGGCATATAGTCATGTATGCCTTGGCATCACAAGTACACATCTAAATACTACTTAAACATTAAAGAGGGTTTCTGCCTCTAACATCCTTTACAGGCAGTGTGTTCCAGATTGCCACCACTTTCTGAGTGAAAAAGCTTTTTTCTCACATTGCCCCTAAACCTCCTTCCCCTTGCCTCAAATTGATGCCCCCGGGCATCGATCACTCTATCAAAGGGAAACTTTTCTTCCTGTCTACATTGTCCAAGCCTCTCGATCTTATACTTCTCAACCATGTCCCCTCTCCATCTCCTCTGCTCTGCTCTAAGGAAAACAATCCCAGTCCCAATCTCTCCTCAGAGATAAAACTTGCCAGTCCATGCACTTTTTCAAGATAGCAGCGGATTTGGACACTTGGGCCAGAGCTCGACCGCTCTGAGTGCTTCTCTCTCTTTTCTTCTTTTGTGTTTCTTTTCTTCTTTATTCTCCAGGCCTCAGCACAGTCCCAGTGAGGCATCGTTCCGGCCTGGCATGGGAGTCTTTTGGCGGCCCGTAGTAGTCTCTTGGCATGGTGTCCGAGGTGGAAAGTGGTGAGAGCAGGGCCCAGTGAGGACCCAGAGTGAGTCCTGCTTGGGCATGTCCCGGAGGCAGCAGGAGATCAGAGGTGGCAGCAGCAGTGGCGACGGCATAGTAACACAACACGGGGAAGAGCGAGCAATGAGGGAGGTCCCTTGGTATCTGCAGCGATGAGAACAGGCAGCTCCCAGAGAGCAAGCTAAGTGGAGGAGATAGGGGCCCCAGCAAGCACTGAAAGATTGTTGAAGTTTTAACTATATTTCTCTACGTTCCTAGTTTAGATTAAGAATGACTTTAATGTTAACTATTAGCTTATTTCTTTATTTTTCTACTTATTCTATGAAGAAAATACCTAATTTTTTAAACTTTGTTTCTTTTACTACTTTGTATCTGAGGTTTTTATACCTAGGTACCGTTGTATCTATGATGGCACCTTGTTTGGCGACATTACAGACTTGTTACTGTACTTCTGTACATGAGTGCACGTGACGATAAAATCTAAATCTAAATCCTGGTAATCTCCTCTGCATCTTCTCCAGTTCAGAACTGTACACAATACTCAGGTGTGATCTAACCAACATTTTATACAGTTCCAGCATCATCTCCCTGCTCTTAATATCTAAGGCTCGTCTAATAAAGGCAAATTTCCTACATGCCTTCTTCAACATTTTATCCACCTGTCCTGATACTTTAGTGTTTAGGCACTAAGTGAACATACACACCAAGGCCCC